TACTAATGCAAATTAAGGGCTATCAACACTTAGACCCCAATCTCTAGTAGTTTCTAATTAGTACACCTTCGTATTGTATTCTATCTAAATTTTCCTTTTGGTTACACCGTAGGGATACCGAACTTAAAATAAATTAAGTAGGTTTATTTCAAAACTCAACTCTTGCTATTGCGTCTATGTAATCTTCTTATTTAAAAAGAAATGATATTACGAAATTCCAAAAAAAATGAAATAACTAATTTCTTTTTCCTATAAATAACCACAAATTTAGCAATGAGTGGCCAATGCAAAATTACTATTTCCAATAAAGTTCTAAAAGTTTGGCCCGGTTTATGTTTTAGTCCTAAACTAATTTTTATTTACGAAAAAGTCCCAAAAACCGGCAAAAGTTTGCATTTTAACCCTTTTTGACTGGTTGGAACCGGTAACAAATTAATTTGAGACTATTTCATAAATTGATCCAAAATATTGAGATTTTTTTGCAAAAACAAAAAATATTAGGGTTTTTCTACAAACAAAAATCTTATTATTATTATTATTATTATTATATTAAAAATATAAATAAGTATACTATTTTTTAAATTTGTTATTATTAATATTGTTAATAATACATATAAATACATTTAAATTAAAAAATATTAAAGACATTTTATAAAGGTGAAGGTTGAGCGGATGGTAATGCTTTAAGCTTTGAAATCATGAATGTCTGTTTGTATATTCTAACTTTATATATGGTCATTTCATATTTGTTATTATTGTTTTTAATTCAGAATATTAACATTTAACAATTTAAAAGAAGCTACTGATTTTTTAAATTGTTTACAACTAGTGAGCGTGTGATATGCATGTTGTCTTGTGTGTAAGTATTTGAATTACCAACATGTGTGTTGCTCTTTTTCATTACTTTATCCTTGTGGTTTTTTTGGAAACATAGTAGATATAGTGTGATAAAGCAAAACAAATCATATTACTTTCTATTAAACAAGATATTTTAATTAATATTTTCGAATTTTGATATGGGCCACCAATGTAAATATTTATTGTGGATCTGTTGGATTTGAAAAGAAATCATTTTACCTTAAGAAATTTTATATACAATGTGAGAAATCCTTTTATCTTAAACTATTTATACACAATTTTACAAATAGGCAACTTTTTTTAAATTGTTAACCGTTAATATTTTGAATTGAAAACAATAATAAGAAATGTGAAATGATCATATAAAAAGTGAGGACATACAAACAGATATTCATGATTTCAATGCTTAAAGCATTACCATCACCACCACCTTCACGTTTAAATAATTTATTTAATATATTTTTTATTTAAGTGTATTTATATGTATTATTAAAAATATTAATTATAATGAATTTAAAAATTAGTATACTTGTTTATATTTTTAATATTATAATAATAATAATAATAATAATAATAATAATAATAATAATAAGGTTTTTGTTTGCAGAAAAGTCCCTAATATTTTTTTCGTAGAAAAGTCCCAAATTTTGGGTCATTTTGTGAAATAGTCCTAATATTTTGAGTCAGATTATGAAATAGTCCCAAATTAATTTGTTGTCAGTTCCAACCGGTCAAAAAGGGTCAAAATGCATATTTTTGTTGGTTTTTAGGACTTTTTCGTAAACAAAAATTAGTTTAGGACTAAAACGTAAATTAGGCCAAAATTTTAGGACTTTATTGGAGGTTTCTCTTACTATTTGCTTAGAAATTTGTTTTTGTCCGCAAAGGATATATATTAATAAACTAAATTTTTTATGTATTGTTAAATTTTCTCATCCTATAATGCAAAATTAGTATTCACGACGGAATTGCTCATGTTACGAAAGTCATAATTTTTATGTGAAGTTTTTTGTTGCGAGGATCTTCAAAACCATTTTTTGCAGAAAATGGGAGCTTCGTAGTGTGCAAATGACATGTTAGAAGGAGAGATTTTCCAAAAAAAAAAAAAAAAAAAAAAGGAAAAAAATTGTTGTAAAAATGATTAGAAGACTAAAACGACCTTAAATACGGGGAGACTAAATCCATGATTTCACAGGCCTAGCAAAATTGATGGTTGTTTTTGTAGGAATTGAAAACCTTTGACCAGTTTTGTGAAAACAAAATCTTACAAAAATATGAGTATGTTTATGGTTTCATCTAAGATATTCATATAAGATATATTTGAATCGGCTGATAATCAATCTAGACATTCATAATTACAAAGTCAAAGCTAGACACAAGAGTACACCCAAGTCATGACATCATCATGCCATATAGTTCCAGCCAATCGATTTATATGAGTTGATTTTCTATTACGATAAATCGATGAAACAATATTGAGTACAATAGCAGCTGCAATAGCTATAACAAAAATGGAGAAAATGGCTCCTTTAAATTGATGACTATCAAAAAAAAATCTGAAAACTTACAAAATTGAGATTAACCACATTTAATATAAGTTCAAGACACATAAAAGCCCTAATCACATTTCAAATAATCAGTTAATTTTTTTCGCTGACCGCAATTCTAGCCAATCCTAAAGGTCAAAAAAAATCTAGTGAAATAAAAGAAATCGGTAACCACCCCCCCCCCCCCCCGGGTCATACAACTGAATCAACAAGTTACATCAAAATTTAAAAAAAAAACAACGGAAAGAATAAGACATGATACAAGGGTTGGGATACCGTCTTCAAACAATAAAATTTAAACATATGGATTTTTTAAATCTTTCTACACAAACTTTAGAAACGTTAAATAAGTCTAATTTAAATAATTCTAATATTGATATAAAAAAAAACTAATAAAGATTTGGATTTTATAAGTTGGAGGAACAATATTTATTTCATTTGATTCCTCAAAGGTATAGGATTTAAATCAAAATGATATTTTTGGGGTTTAATAAACAAGTGACAGTGCGAATCTCAACAATCACTTGTTTTGATTCTATATATTGATCGTTTTGAAATAAAAGAAAACTTTTGGTCGGAATACACATATTGTGTGCAATATCTTTACTCTCAATAGAAAGTCTTTATAACAAAGAAAAACATGAACTCCATGACGTGTTCGTGTCGGAAGAACCAAATGCTCTTTGAATTTTATTTTTCCATTAGAAAGGGCTTGCACATGTTGTGCAATACCCCATAAATACTCCGTCGGTATGAAAAGTTCTTAATATTAATTGCAATGGCGGAGACAATAGGGGGCTGCCGGATGCCCTGTCCCCTCAATCTCTTTTAAAACACCAGCCATTTTATAGATAAAATGAGCCTCTAAGTAATTTTTTAGCTCAAATAATTTAATTAATAACGCTTAGCCAGTAGCCACTTCCATATATATTGTATATAAAGAAAAAACAATTATTATATATAGAAAGAGATTAAAACACCGAGGGTATAAGAATTGTCCCACCGCCTCTACCCTCATTATTTTTGCGTCCACATCCATTTTTTTTAATTGACTTGCTACTCCCATTTATTGATATTCATCGGTAGTTATTGGGTATAATTTATACCCTCGTTTAATCACAAATAGCTTTTGTTAATCGACCATTCATCAAGATAAAGTCCGTAGCTATTTGATTCATTTTCAATTAAGAAATTATTTGTGGCTACACTACACTGTTACGTTTTCACTAATTCAATTTTCTAATAATAAGAAGGTTAATGGATGAACATGAGTCAATGCTTATAGTCGGTTGAAATTTTTTTTAAAATTGATGTTAACGGGTGGTTATAAGTCGATGTTTATGATCTATTGAAAACTTTTTAAGATTGATTCTTATAATTATTGATGTAGTTTCTACTATATCTGTACGGTTTTTTGTTTGGCAATTTTTTTTTAAGTTTTAGACTATTACTTTATTTGGATATAACATTATTTATTAATATGTCATTACAATGCGAGGCTCTTAGCCCCCTTTAGTCGTAAATCCTAACTACGCCCCTAGTTAATTAAGTGTTCGGTTCTCCAATAGATTGGCAATAATACCTACGGCTTCTCCCAATTCGACCAGGTCACCATGAGTTGGACTACGACCATAACGTAATTAACGAATCCAAGAAAATGATTTTTTTTTTTTTTTGTTTTCCAAATTGCATGTGAATTTAGAAAAGTGATTGATATAGTTTTCCAAAGTTTTCTGAATTTTTAAAATGAAACATGAAAACTCCACCGGTTTCAACAAACGTGTTTTTTAAAATTTTCACCTAAAAATGAATGAAAACCAGACTCTATTTTCGGAAAACATTTTCTAAGAAAATAAAAATAGTTTTCTACAACTAGACACACGCTAGATCTTTTTTTAGCTAAGACCAATTGCTTTATTTGGTTTCAAACCATCACAGCTCAAACCTTGTAGTCTTTTTCAGACTAAACTTTTTAATAAAAGCTTATTAAAGGAATTTTTTTAGTAGTGTTTAAAACAAAGCCTCTAAGAATGATGAAGCATAAATGAATCTGTTGTTTCATAAGACAAATGTAAGAAGAAAGAAGAGAGGGTTCATCTTTTTGTTTATAATGTGACACCATTAGTTTACCTTCCTATTTCTAGTGTTCACATACATTTCCTATGAAAGGCAATTGGTTGTATAATGTGTGGTTTGATGAAACGGTTCATTCATTTAGAATTTAGAATGAAAAAAAAAAAAAAAAAAAAACTGATTATTGTGTCATGAATGAAACAAACTAATTATTATTCCACTCCCTTTTGGCAATTTTCATTCCTCAGAGATTTATAGTAAAGAAACTATGACATTAATGGGTGGCAACATCGATGATGTGATATTGATGTCCTTTGCCTTTGTTTTTCGAATCAATATAATCTTGGTCCATGTTCAACATATTTACATAATGTTTGTTAAAAATGTAAAAAGATGTTCATGAAAAGTCAACCAAACATTGGTCAAATATGATATTGCGACCCTCAAAATGTGAAACATCAAGTATATACGAATGAACTAGTTGTAGTGGTGCAAAAAAGCGACTTCTGTACATATCTTGTGTCATTTTTCCACATTAGGACTCAAAGAACTAATACTTGACATCATTTTCTGCAAAAAAAAAAAAAAAAAAAAAAGAAAAAGAAGAAGAAGTTGAATGAGACAAAAAAATAAAGAGGATTAGATCAAAAGACCATAAATTTTAATGATGATAGCAACAAATATTATCTAGATAAAACAGACTTGCAAAATAAAAGGATTTTTACCTCCAAGGGAAAAAGATCCTCCACAGATTCATTTGGCCTAAACTTTTCCCATAGAGCTGTAGGCAATGATCCATCATTTATCTTATCAATTAACTGAGTGCAAGTGGAAGCATCTAGTGAGAAGTGATTTATGTGCATCTCGTTCACAAGAAGTTGTATATCATCATAGACCTTATTCCAGAGATACCCTTGAATCATTGTGTTGTAAGTGACTTCATTAGGTTTGATGCCATTTCCTTCCATTTCTAGGAACAATTGCTTCGCGTCCATCACAAGATCTTTCCTTAAAAAAGCTCTAATCATCACATTATATGACTGAACATCAGGCTGCAAACCTTTAAGAGTAATTTCCTTGAAAAGATCTCTTGCCTTATCAAAATTTCCAGATTTACTTGAGCCATCTATTAAAATGTTGTATGCATGTATATCTGAACCAAGATCACTTCTACTTTTACCCATCAAAAGAGACATATCTAATGCCTTGTCAACTTGATTGTTGTCACAGAGACCCTTCAACATTATTCTGTAAGTGGCGAGACCTAAAGAGAAGCCTTTTGCTATCATGTCCTTGAAGAACTTATCTGCATATTCACAATGCCCAGCCTTAAACATGCCATGTATTATGATGTTATATGTGACTTCATCGGGATGCACGCCTTTTTTAGTCATTTCATTGAAAAGGTGCATGCCGTCTTCTATCGTCAAATGCTTGCAATGCCCATCCAATAAGGTGTTATAGGTAACAACATCTGGAGCTAGATCTCGTGAAACCATTGAATGAAATACTTCCATGGCTTTCCTCACTTCACCTAGCATACAGTAGCCATCAATGATTGAGCTGTAAGTCACAACATTCGGATATATTCCTCTCTTGTCCATCATGCCAACTACAACTTCTGCATCTTTTGTCATGCCCTCTCTGCATAGGTTGTCTACTAATATGTTGTAGGTTTCAACTGTTGGAGAGATCCTATATTCCTCCATTTCCTTCATAAGTTTATAAACCTCATCCCACCGACACAACATACAAAGCCCATGAATCAAGCAGCTGTAAGTTACCACATTAGGTTCAATCCATTTCTCAAATACCATCTCTTTAAAGAGCTTCAAAGCTTCATCCGGTTTTTCAGCCTTGAAAAGACTGTCGATGAGTGTGCTGTATGTTATCACATTTGGTCTACAACCTCGCTCCTCCATCAATCTAAGCAAACCAATTGCAATACTGTTTTGGCTAGCCTTACATAACCCTTTTATCATCGTGTTGTACATGGCTGTATCTGGTTGACAAACTTCCTCTTTGATGAGTTTTTTAAAGAACAATTCCGCCTCACGAACTCTATCTGCTCTAATAAGTCCATCCAAGAGAGTGCTAAAGGTGAATCGATCGGGTACAATGCCAAGTTTCAACCCAATACACAGCACACCAAAACCATCATTCACTTTACCTAACTTGCAGCAACAGTTAATGGCAATATTAATCGTGTAAACTTCAATCTTTACACCTCTCGCAGTCATTTGTTTAAACATATCAAGGGCACACGAATAAGCCTTCATTCTGATAACCGCTTGCATCAATTGGTTGAATTTTACTGCATCTGGCAGGGATTGACTTTGGATCATGTTATCAAACAGTTTGCGGGCATCATCGCACGTATGGATCTTTTCATATATAGATTGGCCACGACCCAATGCCTCCTCGTTTGAGGAACAATATGACTGAAAAGGGACTATACGATGCACTCCTGAACCTAATTCCAAAAAATTAGATACATTGTCATTTTAAACAAGGAAAGAAATGCAAGAATCAGTAACAGTAATGACTACCTTCGAATCGTGTTGACTGTCTCGATACAATAAGAGAAAAACTCATTCTTGTATTTGCCATCGCCATCATGAATGCCAACTTTTGACTCCCCTATGTAATTCGTAAATTGTTCACAAAAGCTCCAACCCTGTTCACCCTTTTACATAGAAAAGACATAAAAGTCATTACTTTGAAACAAATATATTTCTATCAAACATAAGGGTTTTTATGTAATTATCCCTGTAAAAAAAATTCAAGCATTAATGTTTCAATGTTGTAACAAAAAGAGTCAACTGCAAAAAATGGGATTATTTTTTAAATGCAAGGTGTGCTAATAATGAGAAAACTGAAAGTATGATGCTATAATTGGAAGAAAAAAAATCAAAGTAAAATCTGTCAATGAGAAAAGGTTTTTTGAAAACAATGGAATGATTTTTGAAAATGCAATAAGCTACTAATAAAGTAAGATGTGTAGATGACAAAAAAAAAAAAAAAAAAAAAAAAAAAAAAAAAAAGATTTTTGTTTCAATGTTGTAACAGAAAGAAGGAAACTATTTTTGATAAAAATGGGATTATTTTTGGAAATGCAATAAGTTACTAATAAGGAAAATGAAAAGTAGAATATAATTGGAAGATTTTTCAAAACAAGATACATAGATGAGAAGGAAAAGCATTTGATTTTTCAATGATGTAATAGAAAGAAATGTGAAAGTACAATGCCAAAAATGGAGAAAAATTGAAAATGGAACTAATAAGGAAAATGAATGTAGAATGATGTAATTGGAAGATTTTTGAAAATAAAACGCATAGATGAGATGCAAAACGTTTGATGTTTTGATGTTGTAACAAGAAAGAAGAACAAAAGTTTTTTGAAAAAAAATGGGATGATTTTTGAAAATGCAATAAGCTACTAATAAGGAAACTGATATTAGAATGCTATGATTGGAAGATTGTTCAAAGTAAAATGTATAGATTAGAAGGAAAAGAGTTTGATGTTTCAATGTTGTAACATTGTATCAGAAAGAAAAGTGGGAGTACATGCTAAAATGGGATTATTTCGAAAATGGAATAAATTGCTACACACAGGGAGGGTAGGCAAAAGGGAAATTGTCAAACCTGATCAAATGTACTTCCTATCTTGACTGTATTGGCTAGTTATTTCTGATAAAAAAAAATAATAATAATAAGGATGATTAGGATAAGGATTCATGGTAAAGCAATTAAAAATCATAAATTTGACCTTTAAAAATGCGAAAACATTAACCTTAATTAAAATCGCATGTAAATGTAATTTCACTGTTCTGCCCTGCGGAATACTATTCACCTAGTAGGCTACTAGTCTAGTACAAGTATAAAAATACTATCTTATGCTTCTTTCAACATATTGACTAAAAATGCAAAGGGATCAACAAATTCTACCACATAATTTTATACCGATACATTAACAAAAACTCTCAAGTGTTATCTAGTGGTGGCCTGGTGGGACTAAAGGAAAACTTCTAAATGCTGCAAAAGCTTGTGCATCCATATGTAAAAGAAGTGCTAGAAGCAGTTCAATAACCACACTTTCAAGTAGCTTACAATCTACCAATTGATTTCAGACTTTCCATCAATAAAGTTCTAAACCAATCGATCTCTTGTATGTTCATGATTATGAAAGTGTTAGAAACCCTAATTTCAAAGTAGATCATCCACCATCATATCCATGAAATTTCTCATCAAAATAAGCAAGTCCTTTGCGAATGAGAAGAGAATGGACATGGAAGAAAAACAACAAAAACCATAAACCTTGCAAGCAAAACTAAAATTCAAGAGAACATCACTTAAAGCTCCCGACTGGGGTATGATGATTAAACTACAGATCATAAAATGTCAAAGAACATAACTCCTAAACAAGCTTTCAATTAATTTAGAGAGTGATTAGGCATTTAAATTAGATCAAATCTAAAAAGAAAAACTGTGCATGCATGATGCATCAAATATCAATAATCATACACACGTGATCATCAATATAGACTTTGGAATGAAACAGTTAGTAACCAAGATTGACGTACAGAGATTTGAGGTAACTGAATATGCTACAGGGCTCTTTCTTAAAAAGGAGTGCATAAATGATGTTATACATGTCATAGGTTCACCCCCATAATTTCTACTGAGCATCCCCCAACTAATTTGAGATTAATGACTTCTTGTTGTTATGGCACTACAGAGTAAAATAATAAATTAACAGAAACACACAGAGATACAAAAGAGGAAAAAGGAAGTTAACTGATCAGCATTATGATTGCACCAAACTAAGGATCTATATCACATAGCATAATGTTTATATTAACTGCAGAAATCTAACAAATCTATCATCAGGGTTCAACCAATACCGGTGTTCTATGTCATAACAAAAAATAGCCGAAGAAATTAATCCAAACCTCAAGATGTTGTACAGCTTCAGCACTCAAACCAACAGTCGCTGCAGCCAAGCCAATCAACCCTCCCTGTAAGGTGTTAGCCCCGTGACAATGGATGCAATCAATAAAACGTTTACAAATAAATAGTAAACGAATATGTCCGTGAGTTCGATTTTAGTGAAATTACAAACCAATTACCTTGATATTGGCCTTAGTATCCTCTCGAATCTTCTGAATACAGTCCTCCTCTACCAATGACTGAATGTAAACGCAAACAAATCATGAAATCGAGGTCAATTGCTGTGAGTGGGTTGAGTTCGAAACACGGTGCGACTTAGGGCAATGATTAAGAAACGCACCTCGATCGTGATCAAGTCCAGAGGAGAGAAGAGAGGACGCAGCGATCGTCGGACGTCGAAAGAATTCGTAAATTGTTCGTAAAGGCTCCAACCTTTCACTTTTTATATTGAAAAGACGTAAAAGCCCTTAATTTGAAACAAATATAAGTTAGAAACAATTACGTGGGTTTATCTTTTTATGGATTTTAAATGGAATGTTTGTAACATTTTTCTTTTAAATTTTTTTTCCTTTTGTATATTTCTAGTTCATTAAAACACTAATATAAATATTCAGTTTTATTTTTTTATAGTTCATAAAAGCTCTTTTCGTTTGGTTTTCTGGTTCATACAAACCTTTAAATTTGACAGAAATATTTTATTGTACCAACTAAATCTGCAAAAAGGATAAAATTGAAGAAAAAAAATTATAAACACGGTTTAATGAACCTAAAATCCACAAAAGGATAAACCCATATATCTCTATCAAACTTAATGGTTTTTTATGTAATTATCCATGTTAAAAATCACTATTGTTTTTAAATTTTTTTAAGGATTAATATTAAATATTCGCTTTAAAGTTTTTAGAGTATACTACAATAATGGCCTATGGTTTTAAAAAACGTGCACATTCAGTCTATTTTTTAGTCAACGCGCAAGACTCGACCAAAATGCTCTTTTTTGTGGTTCAGGTCCTTCAACTTACCTTCCGTCTTCTTATGTTCGTTAAGTCCCACGCATGCTCGAGTGATTTTTTGTCATTTTAGGTTGGAAACCACATGTACCAACTTCGCAATTTACTCTCTTCAAATTTGCACTAGCGATTAATAAAAATATGAACCTGCTTTTCTATAATTTGAAGATGGAATACCCTCGTTGTTCACTATGAAACTTCATCTTGTTGGTGAGTTCACGAAATTTTCAGATGTTAAGTATGTTGATGGCAGTGTTACATACGTGGATATGGTGGAAAAATATATATATTATATATTTATATAACAATAACAACATATATTTTTAGATAATCATCAATGTATATTATTATTATCACAATCGGCATATGGATAATGCATTGAACCCAATTTTATGGGATAAAGACTTGGGTCTTTTCAATTCCATTCTAAAGCATCTAGTGTCCCTTTTAAATAAATACTTAAGTTATTTTTGAAATTCCAAGGTATTCAAAACACTAGTTCTTCTTCTACAAAAAAGAGTTTTCTTTATATATGCAACATTTCTCGAATGTGGAAGATAGATACCAATGTGGAAGATAGATACCAACAGGACATGCAATGTGAGAGACTCTTATCAATCAATCAACCCCAAAAGGCATCCGCAATATGTTCTCACTAACTTTATGTGTTATTTATAATTTGTTATTGAATTGAATTTACATATTTAATGTAACACCTCGTTTATTAAATAAATTAATTAATTAACTAATGTATAGTAGCCCTAAAATCCGTAATTATATAACAAGGTGTTGGTCTCGAGGAGCTAGTTGTCACAATTTTAGAGATTGAGGATTAAAAGTGTAAGCTTCAGATTGGTTTTGTAAGTATTTATGAAGGAAGGGACTAAATGGTAACTTCTAGGACTTCATTTGAAGAGATTTTGGAGGCTAAGGGGTTGTTTGGTAAATTAGGGATTGAATTTGAGAGGAATTATGGAAGCAGGGGTGAAATTGGTAAATTTTGTACCTAAGTTGTAATGGATTTTTAATGTTGGGGTTTAAAGGGTAAATATGGGATTTATTTTGAAAAGGATCCTATGGGGAGGGACTAGACTTGTGTAATATGCAAAGGTTGTATGTTAGCAAATGCCTTACTTGCGCCAAAGTAAAGGTGGAATACCAGAAGCCCTCGGGGTTATTACAGCAACCAGTAATTCCCGAGTGGAAATGGGAAAGGATTACTATGGATTTTGTGACCAAGCTACCCAAGTCGTCAGATGGATTGGACACTATATGGGTAATAGTCGACAGACTGACGAAATCCGCTCATTTCCTGCCAATAAAAGAATCCTACAAGATGGAGAGATTGACAAGAATATACATTCAAGAAATCGTGAGACTTCACGGAGTGCCAGTGTCTATCATCTCAGATAGAGATAGTAGATTCACTTCACGTTTCTGGAAATCACTTCAGAAAGCACTAGGAACCCATCTCGACATGAGCACTGCTTATCACCCACAAACGGATGGTCAAAGTGAACGAACCATTCAGACGCTTGAAGATATGCTTCGCGCATGTGTGATAGACTTTCGGAAGTCCTGGGATACCCACTTACCCTTAGTTGAATTCTCGTACAACAACAGTTACCATTCGAGCATCAAAGTTGCTCCTTTCGAGGC